TGCGCAGGACAGTATACTGTAGACTTAATAAATATTAAGATGAGCAGGAATGTACAAGAAAAGAATGTGCAAACAGGTTATATACAGTATTTATAACACAATACAGTGATACTGGTTATGACACTGGTAACCACTTTCATCTGCAGAACACCTTACACTGAAAACACAGGGGGAACAGATTTTTCCAGAGGTCCCCCCCCCCCTCCTTTTTTTAAATGTCATAATTATGTCTAGCCATTTTTATCTGCAGAATAGTCTCTTAAACTAAAACACTAAACAGACAGGGGGAACATATCTTAAAATATACACTTTTTTTTTTTTTTTTTTTTTTTTAAAAAACAAGATGACACAATGTTAAATAACCATAATTGTCTCAAAATTAGATTAAAATAATCTGTAACAACTGCCAATTTAGCAAGGACCAAACATAAGATAATACTAGGTTTAATTAAAAAAAATAAATAAAAAGAGCCCAAACCAAGCAGGTGTTATGTCTAAATCACTTGGGTCGTTGCGTAGTCCAAAAAAAGTACAGAGATCGTTTAAATCTTCTATAAAAGAGTATATAAGCATAATTTATTGTCACATTTATTAATTAAGTCACAGTAATATAAAAAACCAAATCCTCTTAAACAAGCTTTTATTAAATTAATTTAAAAATAATAATAATTGTAATTCTTTTTTTTTAATCCTATAATTCTTGTTGCCTACTTAAATGATAAATTAATATCTAGACAAAAAAATAAAATGCTGCATCCAGGTAAATCTGTTCCCTCTGTGTATTCAATGTAAAAACACTGTTCTGCAGATAAAAGTGGTTAGACGTAATTATGACATTTTAAAAACACATCAGGATCATCACTCGGAGTTACCTAAAATAATAAAAGAGAGACTAGTCATTGTGCAATATAGTTTATTTGTTATTATTTCGACAAGGCTTAAGTTGTTTAACAGAAACACACACACTAACAACAACAACAATAACAATAAAATGGAAATGGGCGTCTGAACAAAAGAATGCCGCTGACGAAGGAATTTAACTGTCTAATTGTATTGAATGGTGTTACACTTCATAACAGGCAAACGTTCGAATTAGCAGGGAAATCTGACTCTATGTTGCGATTGAACAGGACGTCACGTACATTAATACGTATTTAATTACAAGTGATCTAAATAACATGGTGAAATGAACGTTGCTTGCAGAAAGACAGCAAAACCACCATAAGCTGACTTGCTTAGCCGGGGCGAAATCATGATGTCATGATTTTAGTACTGAAGTTTCAGGGTTGCCAGGATATTAAAAAAAAAACCTCCCAATTGCTACTACAAAGTACCGCGGGAAAACCGCGGACTTGGCAACACTGCGAAGTTGCGCA